GGGGGGGGGGAAAGAGAGCATGGGCGGAGGCGTGTGTGGGAGGGCCATGACACAGATGACTCAGTGGTCTGTGTTGCCGGGTCGTTTGAGCAGCAAACACACTCCTGCCCTCCCACTTGACAAAGTGCTCATGACATCACATGAAAGCTTCTTCCTGCAGCGGAGGCGTCACCGCAACGTCAAGTTGACCTCTAATTACTACTACGACTGGATTAAAACAAAAGACATAAATAATTTTAGGCACAAAATGGAGTGTCGATGTATTTATTACTTCTTTTCCGTTTTATTATAATTAAGTAGCAATTATTTAAAATGTTTAAATAATTTAAAAATGTATTTGTAATTATTTATCGTTATAAAAATATTTTCTTGCATTATTTGATTTTTTTTCCCCTTTATTTGCATTTTAAATTTTTGTTCAAAGTTATTTCATTCCTATTAATAGGCATTATTTTTATATGAGCATTTTTTATTTAAACTTTTTTAAATGATATTTGTATTTATGTACTATACAGGTATGTGATTATTCAAAAAATATATATTCATTGAAATATTTTTGCATTATTATTTTTATTATTATTATTATTATTATTATTATTATTGCATATGAAGAACTTATGTGCTCCTAAAACGTCAAAACTCCAAATTCAAGATCAAGAAATAGTCGAATAATGAATACCCTGAAGAGACAAAATGACTTGGATTAGAGGTTTGTGTGGGCATGGGCGTTCTGTTGTACCTTCTCTTTTTAATCATAAACACACACGCACACACACACTCGCACATTTATGACTGTGCTGTTGTCAGATGACTAAGACACTCACATTTTCACTCACATGCTCTTTTCGTTTGGCTTCTCCGCTTCCTGCATGCACTTGGTAGAGCAGCTCGAAAGGCATCAAGAAAAGAACAATGAAAAACCTGTTTTTTGAAGAGATGGATTCTTTATTCAGCCATGAGGGAACTAGTTGTAAAAAGTTTAGTAATCATCACGATGAAACGACATGGCAAAAGAAGCAAGCTGTATTACTAGAGATTTGAGAAGCAAAATTTATGATTATTAAAAAAAAAAAATACAGAAATAAAAACAAAAGTCATAGTGCCAGTTGGCGCACGGCGATTGCCTGTTTAGCGCGTCCCGCTCATAGTGCAGTGGTGCAGGGTTCGAGTCCCTCTCCGGTGTGGAGTTTACATGTTCTCCCCGTGCCTGCGTGGGTTTTCTCCGGGTGTTCCGGTTTCCTCCCACATTCCACAAAAACATGCATGACAAGTTAATGGAGCACTCTTAATTGTCCCGAGGTGTGATTGTGAGTGTGAATGGTTGTTTGTCTATTTGTGCCCTGTGATTGGCTGGCGACCAGTTCAGGGTGTACCAGGCCTACTGCCCAAAGGCAGCTGGGATCGTGTCCAGCATTCCCGCGAGAAGCTTGCAATAATAACAAATGTCATTTTTTTCAGTTTGTGCGCCCACTCATTTCTACGTTTCGACTTTAAAGAGCTCCTTGCTTACTTATGTTGCTGACCAAAAATGAAGAACCAATTCTAAAAACATTATATTGAAATGCGTTTGTTAAATCACATACTCAGAGTGAAAAAATGTATATGAATAAAAACAAAAGACCGTGAAACACATACTGTTTTATTAAGAATTTAAAAAAATCTAAGTTATCCATCATATGGTTTTTTTTTTTTTTTTTTTTTTAAACTTTGCGTGTATTCTCACAGTGTAGAAATGTTGTCTTGCATTCTCTTTTCCCTTTCAGTCCAGTTTGTTGGGCGGGTGGGGTTCAGTCGATGCCCTCTCTTTTGCACGCCCCTGTCTCTGAGTAATGCAACACCTCTCCTGTTTTTTAATTATCATCTTTTCTTTCTTTTTCCCCCTACTAAACAAGTGCATTGTTGAACATATACAGTCTTGCCAATGATACATTGCTCCCTGCATTTTTTTTACATTTGAATATATGGCCTAAATGAATATTTTGTTCGTCAATAACGTCTTTTTGGCAGAGGAACGTCAGTGACGCCAGCTACGGAGACATTCCATGTCAAGTTGATTCTGATTGAGATTGTGATGACTGTTGTGCTGATCCTGCCAAGAGTCATCATCATAATAATAAAAATAATATGGACAACAATAATTGAGGGGAAGTCAGTCGAAGCTTGTTTACCCAGGTTGGGTGCAGCATCGTGTGTGGAACAAACTCAAATCCACCGCAGAGGCTGCCAGTAATGTGACGTCATGATACTCTGCGCGCGTTGTTGTCGTAGTAGCAGTTCCTCTGTACTCCACGAGATGGCGACTCGTGCCCACATTTTCAATTTGGAAGGTCTGCCTGAGTTTTTCGAGCCGTGTGGGTGTCCCCCGCCGACATATGCATGTTTTTAAAAATATATAACTTTTATTAATTATGTAGAATTCATATTTTTCAACCGCCGTTTTCACTTCATTGATTTTTGTTTGTTTTTTTGCAATTCACTTTTTTAATTTTTACGCCTCTAACTAGCTTAATTCCTCGGCTTTTACAATAAGCTTTTTTTTTTTTTTTTTTATCAATCAACGTGTTCGATCTTATTTCCACTGCCAAGTGTAGATATCAACAGTCAATATTGTGTGTTTGTGAGTGTGTTTTTTTTTTTTTTTTTGGTATAAATCAGTGAATTGTTTCTCCCTCTAATGAGTGAGGTTGTTTAAAAATAACAGCAAGCTGCTCGATATATAAATTATGGGGGTTTGGAAGTACGAAAGTGTATTCATAATATTCAAAAAGCTATTTATGGATTAAAAAGTACACGGATATTGACTTTGTACTCAATTCCTAAAAACGACTCTTTTTTTTTTTAATGCTTGCAAGTTTGTACGCATGTTTCACATTGCTGTTTGTGAAAGCCTCGTCATATTCAATTTGTGAATATAATGTGAGCTTTCGAAGGGTGTTTTCATATCAACCTTTCGGTTTAAGTCAGCAAGGGGAAACAAAAAAACGCTCTCATGTCGGATTAGGATGAATAAATATTTTTAAGAAGGGTTGTGTTTCTCTCCTTTCCTTGAACGAGTCAAACTTGAAAAAGACAACACGGCTGACATTTAAAGCAATGTAAGCGTTAAAATAATGAACGATAAAGAAAGGAAAATCAAATAGGATTTGTGATTCTTCTAGATGGCCGCTCGCAGCATAAAACTGAGACTGCTTGCCGTTTACACATTGGGTGGTTTTAAATGGAATAACCTTAAATGTTTACCAGGGTTGAAATGCGCTTTTGTGTTCATAAACACTTTTAAGTGCTTAACTGGCGGATTTTAAATACTCACTAATGCGCATTAGGGAACTTTTAAAACTCTTATTAGGC